AAAAATCCTTGGTATGTACCGTCTGGTGGACCGACGCTTAAGGTTACTATGGCTTTCTTCATCTTCTTTGCACGCATTTATTGTTATTATCTTCAAGTTTTATGCAACAATTCTATGCATGCATTAAAGAGTAAAAGTAATGATCTGACCAAAAAATGCCAATGTTTTCATTTTTAGCATCAAAGACCACATGAGGAGAGACAAATAAGATTCTCAACTATTGATGAATGGTACAAAAGAGGACCATCTGAAAAACTTGCATCAAAGTTCAGAAAGGTATTACTCTTGCTTATAATTGTTGGTGAGGTTATTCCAAATCGGTAGACTAATGCTCATTTACATGGATTCTGAATCTCAGTATTGCAAGTCAATAATGTATTTCTTTGAGAATCTAATATTTACTGATAAATAATGCAGTGTAAAGGTGAAGTTGAAAGTGGTATAACTGAACTCTCTTAAAGAATGAAAATTTTTTGAAGGGAGCATGTGAGAATTGTGGTGCAATGACACATAAACTGAAAGAATGCTTCGAAAGACCACGTAAATTAGGTGCTAAATGGACAGGTGAAGATATTGCACCTGATGAATACCTTCAGGTTATTATTATCATTTACTGTTGATAATAATTTTTTCCATTACTATCTAGGAATTGCAGTATTTTCTTTAAAATTTTCAAGTTTTTAATAGTGTTCAAAATTTGACATCAATACATGGGTTATTGTATTGAAATTTTTTCATCAATGAAGTTTTCAAAGTAATGAAAATGGGTGAAATTCAGCCGAACTTGACGTTAAAATGGGACGCGAAACGAGATAGATGGAACGGTTATGATCCGCAGACACATCATCAAGTTGTGGAAGAGTACGAGAAACTCGAACAGACCAGAAAAATGCTACGTGAAGAAAAGGTTTCGTGTGTTTGTACATTCGATATTGTTTCATCTATAACAAAAGTTGTAGTAGTGTTGAAAAATTTATTTGTCTGGTGAGATAGCAGTGAAAGAATGCGATGAATTCAGATGAAAGAAGGCATATTGGATGAGGAGGATGAACAGCAAACGAAGGCGGAAGAAGCACCAATACAACATCCACAAGCAGATGAAGACATGTATGCGGATGACGCTGATATGGCCGGTGTTACGGTTGATATGGATTCACGAACCAGAATCACTGTCAGAAAT